TTTTTTTTTTTTTTGTATGCCTCAGCTCACTACTTCAAATCATGAATGAAATATCTGCATAAATTCAGCTCCTATAGTTTGCAACACAATAGATCATTGCATTGCACACAGATGCAGATGAGAGCTGAGGATAAAGAGGAGGTGGAGGGCAGCCTCATCAGTAGCAGTATTGATGAGTCAGGCTGGAAGCTGGGGGGCAGTGGAAGGCCTGGGTGTCTTCTGATCTTCGCCTGTCTCCAGGTCAGCCTGGTGGACCTTCCTCCCTGGCATGAGGGGAGGAGGATGCTGTCAGGATCTGCCTGCCTTTATATCACAAAGTCATTTTCAACCACATGTTCATATGACTGTGGGGTGTGGGGTGTTGGGAGGGGCAGGCTCTTAGGAAAGTAAGGCTTCTCTGCCTCCATCCTCTCCATTCCCTAAACAACAGGAAATGGTCTTGAGTCCAGTGCAGTACTATTATTAAAAAAAAAATTTTCTCATATAGTAAAAGCTAACAGACTCAAACCAGGTTCTCTCAAATCCAAGTTCCTTTGCACCTAGGAACTCAAACGCCATCATATCATGGAGTTCCGTTATGAGGGATGTTGTTAAGTACTGTTGAGTTGGTTCTGACTCATAGCAACCCTGTATAGGAATGGAAGAGGTACTTTTCTTCTTTTTAACTGCCTTCCCTGGCACCCAAGTTAGCACGTGTCTACACTCTCCCCAGTGAATGATTCTGCCTTCCCTCCCACACCTGGTTAAACATCACAGAATTTTTATTATAGAATGAAAACCCTTTTGGGGCTTTTTACAGTAGTCCTCTCATACAATATCTTTTTTTGACCAGCATAATGTCCTCCAAAGGAGCTCTGGTAGCGTAGTGGTTACGAATAGGGCTGCGAACCTCAGGGTCAGCACTTCGAAACTACCAGCTTTTCCGCGGTAGAAAGATGATGCATTCTGCTCCCGTAAAGATTTACAGACTTGGAAACCCTGTATTGGGTCGCTATGAGTTGGAACCGACTCCATGGCACATAACAACAACAACAATGTCCTCCAGGGTCTTCAGTGTTGCATACTATTCCGTTGTGTGTGCATTTAAGTTTGTTCAACCCTTCCTCTGCTGATGGGCATCTAGGCTGCCTCCATCTGTTTGCTGTTGTGAATGTTTCTGCAGTGAACTTGGGTGTGCAGACATCTAGTCGCGTTACGGCTCTTATTTCTTGAGGACATATACCAAATAGAGAGATTGCTGGGTCAGACGGTGTTTCTGCTTTTAAACTGAGAAAGTGCCATGCCGTTTCCCACAGCAGTTGCATCATTTTTTAAGTCCCACCAGCACTGCAAGGTCGGCAGTTCAAGCTCACCAGTCACTCTGTGGAAACCCTATACAGGGTCACTATGGGTAGCACCGACTGGACGGCACTTAGCAACAACTACAACAACAGTAGCAGTGTAGGAGGGTCCCATATCCTACACATTCTCTTGAAAATTTGTTGTTTTTCGTTTTTTTCTAAACTTTGCTATTAATGCTGGGGCAACCCAGGATCTTTTTTTTTTTTAGTGAATTGACTGAAGGTTTACAGAGCAGATCATCAATTTTACATTCAGCAAATCAGATACTTTGCTTCATTACAATGATTGCAATCCCCTCCATAAACCATCAGTTAAAGGTTGTTGTTGTCAGGTGCCATTGAGTCGGAACCGACTCATAGTGACCCCATGCACAGCAGAACGAAACGATGTCCGATCCTGGGCCAACCTCACTACTGCCGCCACACTCGATGCCATCAACGATGCAACCTGGCCAATCCATCTCGTTGGGGGTCTTCTTTTTCTCTGACCCTCCACCTTACCCAGCATGACATCCTTTTCCAGCGACTGGTCCCTCCTTACAATATGTCCAAAGTATGAGAGAACGAAGCTTAGCCATCCTGGCCTCCAAGGAGCACTCTGGCTGCACTTCTTCCAAAACAGATCTATTGGTTCTTTTGGCAGTCCATGGTAC